ATTTAGATCACAAGTACAGCGTATATGTCAATACTGGCGCTAATAAGTGGCTGTCCATTTGGGATGTGACAGTTGTCTCAGCTGTTAATTAGCTGTCAATCCTTGTAAACAAATGGTGCGATATTTACCTGATTTCGTGCAATAAGTCTCCGCGAAAGCGATGTATAGCACGGACTCAATGGTGATGTTCTCGAGACTGGATATACTCGAGCTCCGGGAGCGTGAGAAAGAGCTGTCGATTTTATCTGTTTGGACGGCATATATAGGCATGAGAACCGACGCATACCCTGATAATTGTCTTTTATAGCCAACAAAATGCGGACAAACACTACACCAAACTCTTAGGGTTCACAACACACTCGTAGCAAAAACTTTTAGATATAAGTGATATGTAATTACAGTAAAAACAAACACCAATACTATGCAAGTAAATGAAACTAGTGACTTTTAGTATACGACAAACATAACGGTACATGAAAACAGTATTAAATGATTAAATAATAGGAAATATAATCTAAATATAATAATAACTCAATCGTAAAATGTATGGCAAAAATAAATATCAGGATAAATATCAGGATAGGAGTCTCGGGCGAGCGATAAAAGGATTTGTTTTGATTCAATTCGCGGACAATATTATGAAATGAAATAAAGAGATAAAAGGCTTTAAAGACAATCAGATTTATAAATGCCTTTAATATAATTTATGAAGACCTCATCCCTAACACTTAAATCATGCGAAAGTTTCCCTAATACTTACGTAAATCCCTGTATTTATTGTATAAGAAAAATTTTCAATCTTTTCAATTATTTATAAGTAATATTTTATGTGTGTGCGATTAGACTATGATTTCAAATAAATAAGTTACATGTCAATAGTGATAATTGGTATATATGTCATTAATTGACAAAATTGTTTAAGTATAGGGATGACGTCTACATAATAATAATAATAATTATAAATAGCGTTTAGAAAATAGATTTAATACATGGATAATAATTAATATTTACGGTTCAATGGGGGTATCATATGTACAGACAACGGACAACAGCAACAATTTGGGACACAAATGGAGATAACACAACAAATTCATGACATAATTATAGTTATAATTAAGTATTAGTTAAGAAAAATATGATATATTTATAAAAATTAGTATACAGTATGAGTAAAAAGCATTCACAAAAGTGCACTGGTTAATATTTAAGGCATTCATGATAATTCAAGGCATGCGTTGAATATATTAAGAAAATGTATATAAAGTATTTGAAAACAAATGGACAGATTTTAAGAGATAAGT